AAAAAAAGTCGTTTATTTCTAAAGGCGAGAGGCATGTCTCGATGAGAAGGTGAAGAATCAATTGAGATCATTTCATTTTTTTCCTTTGTAATTGTTCATAGAATATGTAGTCTTCAACATGAATTATTTTGATAAAGTTGTTGAATGTCGAAATTCTACTTTTTGAAATATGATTGCCAACAAACAATGCGTCCCAAATAGAGAGAACCTTTCTCATAAATTCGAATGTCAAACAGGATTTTCTAGTCCTTCTGAACAAAGGTAGATATTAAAAACTTCCATTGCGAGACAAGAGTTGAAAAGTAGAGTCAGATATATACACGAGAAAAATGTTTGTTTTTAGATTGTTTATTCTCTATAAACGAGCATGTGCAGCTAGACGAAGTTTATTGATATCATTCTTGGATCTTGTAAGTAGCTAAACCATATATCTGTCTATCAGATGGTATCAAAAACTCTGCTTTTATTGTTGCTTAATTCTTCTTCATCTGACAGAAAAAATTTATAGTTGGTTTATTGAATTAATAATAACAATTATAACTATTATTCCCTTTTATGAAAGAAAGGCTATATCGCAGAAACTATTTTTAAAGTTTGTCAGTCCAAGCCAATCAGAATACAGGTCAAAGGTCAGATATCAAAGGTCACAAATATCGAACTTGATTTTTGACTGGTTAGCGAACATTTAAGGTGCAATATGTTTGTTTGTTAAGTGCGGTATCTCGCCCAATCAGGTTTTCACTAGGCGGAAAATCATGAGGGTGAGGGATGTTCTTATGTAAGTGCTGATCTGTGAAATCGGTTGACTTTGTCAGGATTTAAGATGTTAATGTGAGTAAATATCTGAGGATGAGGTAACGATCCTCAGTACTATTCGGATATAGTTAATATATTTATAAAATTTCTGGTAGACCCGAAAATTTGGAAAATAACGAGCCGAAAGTGGCGCTGACGACCTAATTGGAGATGGATTTGTGGAGTTTTATGGGAACAAGCCAGTTTCAGCGAAATGCACGAAAAATTTGGAATTGTTAGCTTTAAATTATCTGATATGTGCGTGGTGTTTCGACCTTAATAGCATTATTATTTTTCTCGGTACTCGCTATTTCTATATTCAATAATGACGTTGAAAGACTATCAACATAAGTAACGATCGATGATCTATAAGTGCAATACATTCTTTTCTTGTCGACGAAAACATTGATGTGATAACGAAAATGTATTTCTATTAAAAAGTAGAAAAAAAGTGGAACAGTGAAAAACAGGCAAAAAACAGTTCAAAAAATGGAATTTTTTTATAGAAAGCAGAAGAGTTGATTAGTTTAGTTTCAAAACAATCAAAGAGTGTTAGATGAATATTTGCCAATGTTTCAGAAATCTCTCTCGATAAATCAATCGGCGCAGAGACATCTCCATTCGTGAGAACAATTACACCTACAGTGTTCTGTTCATTGACTAACATCAAGTGCGCCATACCTGGTAGTGTACCGCCATGACCGATATATCGACGACCATTACTCGCAGTTTGCCAATACCAAATGAGACCATAGTGTGTTAGTAATGGCGATGTATTATTACTGGATGGATTTGGATCGTAGTAAGGGATGTTACCGTCACCGACGACCTTTCGCATTTCAAGAATAGAACGAGGATGAAGAAGAGAGGAACCATTGTTGATGAACATACGAAGGAATACGGATAGAGAACGTGCCGACATTCTCAAGAGACCAGCAGGATAGTCGATAACGCTGAAGAACGGGATGCGAAGCCAAGTGGGAAAATTACCCTAAGAGAGATTCTCAAAATCAATTTTAGTAATGCATTGATATTCATACATTTACCGGTATCTGTGTGATATTCAATTGTGGCATTGCTTGCTTCCATGCTTCAAGAAAGGACACATTGAATGCATATAAATAATGTTCGACCAGTTCTTCTCTATTTTCAAAATCAGCCAGACGAAAGCCTGTTTTGGTGGCATCGATACTCAACGGTTTGATAATTTTTTCTTTGACATATTGTTCATAGGACATTTGTGTAACTCGTTCGACAATCAATGCTGCCAGAGCTGCACCCTCATTCGAATAAAGTGTTACACTTCCTGGTGGTTTTGGCAACCAGTTTGGTGTCTGATTCAAATATGTAAAACACATATCAGCCAAAGTCATTTGTGTAAACGCTGTGTCGTCAGGTAGATAGCCGGACATTCCTCCGGCCTTGGCACGGATCGAGGCAGTATGCGAGAGTAATTGACGTAGAGTGATCAGATAAGAAGGATAGAGTGGATGAGAGATACGTCGAACAGATTCCGATAAGTATTGATTAATGTCCGTATCCAAATCGACATGATTCAATTCGACAAGTTGCATGACAGCAACGGCAATAAACGGTTTAGAAATGGACGCAAGAGCAAAAATAGACTTTTCCATGTCAACAGGTCGTTTCGGTGAAAGAGACTGATGGCCAACGGCTTGTTCATATAGAATATCAGTGGCATTGACTACGAGAATTGCGGCACCTGGAATATGAACTTTGACGAGAGACTGTTCGATAGATTGTCGATTAGGGCATACTCTATTATCAGCACCAGCAGGAACGACAACAAGAGCAAGCACAAACGATAACAAACACAACATCGCTTGATTTTTGTTTGACAAAGAATCTTTTATTCTGTAATGATAAGCGGGCATATACACGAATACAACGACATATTATGTTTTATGTACTACCAATAGAAGAAAAGGTGAGACAAAATGCGCCGTTTCATTATTATTATTTATCTTTCTTTTTTGCTAAAGGTATGGATTTCACGTAATGACCTTAAGAGCGTCAATATTTGAATGCATTGGCAAAGAGAAATATAAGCTTATTGTCACAACCTCTACCGGATTATAGAAAAGAAAATACATTATCATTAATTAACTTTTCAATATTCCTAAATCTTGTATTAAATCTTATTAATATGTGTCGTTGAATCTGTCAATGAGAAGATGATTTAACCCTTTGGCAGCCGCCGACGCATTTATGCGTCAGAATCCTCGTCTTGCGTGAACTAAAAGAACTCATTCATAATGTTTGTTTTTTAGATGCATTTACATAAGAACAAATAGTAGGTACTGTACGCTCTTCAACTCACCATTATACTAGGACAAACTATAGAATCATCCAATAAAAGACAAATAAATTTTCTGCAATAGCGTCTCTCCCTTGAGGGTGGGGTGTGGGTGTGGGTGTGGGGTGTGTGGGTGTTGGTGTGGGTGTTTCTTTACTCTATCCGCATGCACACTCACACCCACACCCTCACCCACACACCCGCATCCACACCCACCCTACTCGCACCCACACCCACCCTACTAGCACCTACACCCACATACCCACACCCACACCCACAACCACACCCACACACTCACACCCACCTACACCCACACCCACACACCCACATCCACACCCAGACGATATTCAAAATCACAGAGGAGAATGTCATGTATTTATTCGGGAAGATAATTCTGTTTCAATAAAAATAAGTTTCGACATCACGCCATAAAGTAGATAAATGTGTATAGAAATGAGAAAGACACGTTGTTACTTCAAATATATAATATATCTGACGATAAAACAAACGACTATGAAGAAGATTCTTCTTTTCTGGCCTGTCCAATTCAAATAAATATCTCAAAGAATTTGTTGTATGGATTGTCTTATTTGTTTGTCTGTTACTTGTTGCTGATTCTCTTGTGCAGTTCATATTTCGTCTGTATTATCTTTGGTGAAAACACAAAATATTGCAGCTCATCTATTCAGTGAAGAACATGCTCGTAATTGTTTGATAAGTTTAATTCAATATGAAACAAGAGTAAGTAATACACGTGGTCAGTTTCATGCACGTAATTTTCTCATTTCAAAAACAAAAGGGCATATGTTCAATGAGCAGAAGACATTATCGATGTAAGCTTGATCTGCAAAATTTTGTTAATTCTTATCATAATCAATTACAAAATATTATTGTTCGTGTGTCAAATTCAGGTACAAGATCCAAAAATGTGTCGAGTCTGATAGTAATTGCTCATTACGATTCAGGTAATTATGGTTAGAAATCTAATGATTTGAAAGAAAAATTTCTTTTCTACAGCGGAATCTAGTTCTGGAGATAATGATGATGGCTCGGATGTTGTTATTTTACTTGAACTTCTCTCGAATATGGTCAATGATTTGACAGTGACATTTTCTGATGTTCATCTTATCGTTCTATTTACCAATACCGAAGAGATAGCTTCATAAGGTGCGCAAGCATTTATTATCAATCATAGTTGTAGTTCTAATATTCGTCGTTTTATTAATATCGATGCAGTTAATTGCAATGGAAAGGCTAACCTAGTTCGAATGAAACCATCAAAGGTTCTCTTCGCTCTTTATATCTATCTTTTCATTTTTCTGTGTTTTTTTGTTACTTATTCTTGATTATAGTCGAGTGATGAGACCATATGTCAACGTGATCTTCGAAGATATTTCAAAACAGATCAGATTGATAAATGATTATGATAATTTCAGTTTGGAGAGTTCTCTGATAGAATATGATTTTGGTTTTATTCTTGATGGATACAGTTTGGCAATTCTGAGATTGTGCAATTTGTTAAGCAAGCAAACTATGATAAAGAACAATTAAGGCATACAGAACTAGACTAAAATTGTTTTTGTCAGAATTCCCCTTGTTATCCAAAAAAAAAGAATCTAATCATTATCATCAAAGCATCCGCATTCATATTTTACTATTAAGATGAACAACTACATCTCGCACAGATGACTTTGTAATGATCAATGAATTGTAGACGAAAAGCGATCGTTGTTGACGATCAATGATGAACACATCGACGAAAACGAGACTCTATGCACTATATGTCGATATCAAACACAGAGATATGATCTCAAACGTTTCCATCGATCGACTCGACGGCAAGATGTAGAAAAAGCGAAAGAAAAGAACTTACACTGAAGGTTTCTCCTTACATCGAAAACATGTTCTGCGTTACAGATCAAATTTCGATCATTGTTCAACATCGAATTTGTGCATGACAAAGGCTAATTGTAACGACAAGACAAGAGCTTGAATGTTCACAATATCAAAGTAATACCTTCACTGACCTAAGCGATATGAATAAGATGCTTAACATGATTTAAACATATGTAAATGTGATGATACGATCTCATATGTCATTCTTTAATTGAAGATTGCTATCAAGACGGTTTTCGGTATTCTTTTTCATAAGACTCATCGGACTTTGAATAACTAATGCAGAAATTAGTTAAACTATTTTGTTTCAAATAACAAATCGGAACAAATTAAAGTAGAAAACAACAATACTTTAAGAATTAAAAAGCCTGATAACCATATTTCGTAAAATAGACTAAATTGACAAGTTGAACATATTGAACTGATTTTTTGTACTGAATATTAAAGAACCATAGGACATGTTTTCAATAATAGAAAGATATAGTTTTGTAGAGAATTGAAAACAGAATTGTTTGATAAAAAATTGGTTTCGAAATGGTGAGAACTGGATGAGATATTGTAAAAATACTGAAACCACAATTTATCCTGCGCTACCCATTTCATCAATGCGTCATGGCAAAGATAGTAAGTGAGAAAGGGTCTAGTGTACTTTTGACACAAGTTTCTAAACATGTGGAGTCAATAGGTAGAGGATACAGAATAAGTTTTGATTCACGCAATCAATTCCCAATAGTAAATAGAACAGTGCACAAAATTTATGCCGACACTTTGTATACTGGATAAATTCACCATGCATGTACTGATATTGTACCACGACTTCCTAATCGAATGATGTTCCTCATGTCCAATGTCAAGGTCATACCTCTAAATGATACAACATATGGCAACGTTTCTTTATTAAAATATGTTCAATATCTCTCAAGGGTACCCAAACAGATAGATTTAAATAGTTCATACAAGTTTGTAAAATACATCAGTCCTTATTAAATATTTCACTCCGCGTGTCACAGAACGTCCTCGATGTTTCTTTGCATCAGGATGGCCATCGTGCCAAAATAACACTGCATTGCCTTTTATAGGCTTAATAGAAACGTCATTGTCAAAATCTAACTCTCCACCTTCAAAGTTATCATTCAACCAAATGACAAGTGATGCAAAGGACCGCTCACTATTGTCTCGCGCACAGGCTGCGTCGATATGATATTGAAATTCTTCACCTTTGCTCGTTTCGAAAAATCTCCAGCGGCGATTCAGACCTGACGATTCCCATAGGCCGACATCATTCATCACCACTGGTGGTTTCCAATAGGAGATAAGCCTTCTATATAGACGGTCGGCTTCAAGACATGGAACTTGCCATATGCATCGTTTATTTGTTCTTATGGATGTCGACGCAGGCCATATAAGAGGGGTACTAGTGGACACAGAGTGATTCAGCACGTATTGTCCAATAGGAGTTATCTCATGTGATGCATCGTAGCCAATATCCAATGATGCTTTTTTCCAATTCTCACATTCATACTCTGTGAAGAATCCGTTAAAAACCCATATACCATCAGAAGAAAGTGTGCACCGAAGCATGGAAGGTTCACTTCGTTTGGTATTCCACTCCGTAGGTAAAGGATGTTCGGATGAAAATTCTAAAGGAAGTGTCGACGGTTGCTCACCCCATGTAAAGTTTATTTCATTCTGTGATATCGACTCCATTTTGCAGCTATTTATATTACAATGAATAGTTTATCTATAGAAATGGGATAAACGATATCACTACGATATAGAGCAGAAGATGAAAGATACAATTACTACGTAAGACAATCTTTATATGTTGCTAAATTCATTTTGTGGCACTGTTATCACAACTGTTTGAGAAAGTTTGTTTACTCTCACAATAGACGAAGCAGAGAGAGCAATTGGTGTGAGCAAGAAATCTTACGAAGGAAAGTCTCAAGTGATTAAAAGCTATTGAACTCATATTTTTCCCATTGGGTGTGAGACCACTAGATTAGAAGAACTACCAAAGAACTCGTCCTCTTATTAAGTTTTGACTGAAACATCGAATTTTTAGTAGATTTTTTCTATAATACTCCAGTTTTCCAGTTGAATAAAATTTTTGAATTTTGGGCAGAAACTTTTTTCAAACGAAGGTCTCCATTAGAGTGG